GCGGAAAGACAAAAAGAAAATGTGATTAGATGCAGCTAGAACAGCTATCTTTAGTTCTAACGATTATTTAAGGATGATTATAGGTTCTATAAATACCAAAGCCACTCAACATTTTATAATACATGTCCTAATTTTCAAATAAATGCAAAATGGCGTTGAGAGTTATGCAAATATAATTATTCAATGTATAAAATACCAAAGCTACTCATCATTTTACTAATTATTATATTTTCTAATTCTAAAAATTTTTTTTGAATGGTTACAAATGACAAAAACGAGCTACTGCAATCATTATTACATTGATTTATTCGATATATCATTCCACTGTTTTGATGCAAAAAAAATCTCCATATTTTTCATACTGCGAGAGTCATACAGTGGAAACCCGAGAAATTTATTTTAAAGGAGGCAAGAAATTACTGGAATAAAGAGGCAGCAATGAGCGGCGCCTTAAAAATTATGTTCGATACCTTCCAAAACTACCGTAGTCATTTTTCTTCCCAAAAAAAGGATTTTTACTTTGATTACTGGAAAATGGAAATTTCAAAATTCTCAATTAGTCACAAAAAAAGTCAGGTGCACGATGCTATAATTTTTGAAGGCTACTTCTGAAATGAAACTCTGATATCTATCTTATTATAGGTTTATATTACGCATTTGTTGAGTTTCTCTTCGACTTTTCTGCAAAGAAAAAACAGGAAAAAATGATTGGCATAAATTGGCAAACTCCGCCCCCGTCTCCTCTCACATACATATGTAGTTGTATACTGCAAGGCTTAGTAATTATGCAACCATATGACTCGCAATTCAATACGATCATGATTACATTCCGTGTAAGTGTCCTACAGTGGCGGTCGCGAGACTCCCGTTCGGGGGAGGGGGGGGGGGAGGACCAAAAATTTTCTTCCAAATGAAGATGCGTGGCTTTAGCTATGCACGCCAAAAAAATTTTTGGGATGCTTCTCAAAATTTTTGCGGGTCCATAACCCCTAAAATCTAGAAAAAGGGGGCGTGGCGGCAGCCACACCCCCAAAAAATTTTTTTAAAAGGCCTAATTTGAATTTTTAAAAATTTTTAAAATTATTTTAACTGTTTACAAAAATAAACAAGCCATTTGCACACTTTTATAACCCACGTAAGTACATTTCAAAATTTTGCGACCCATTCTGAGGGGGGGGAGGGAGGGGGCTCCCCCCGAAAAATCTCAGTTCACGACTATATTATAAAACAAACCAACATTAACAGATGCGAAAAAATGACTGAATGATCAAAAACCGGGTGAGTCCATTAACCAGATATAGACAACATTGCAAAAACAACTCAATAGTGAAACAGGTTTTAAAAATCTGCTGTAAAGTAATTCTGCTTTGTCGTTTCAAGTAAGTCATATGAATTATGATGTCATCATCGTTAAAAAAAATTTTTCTGCAAAGTTATGCCCTATATTTTGATGATATCATATTTTCCGGTTTCAATCAACAGTTATAAAACTCTATCGAGCACCACAGGCGTCTTCAGCGTTCCTTTTTTCGAAGATTTTTTGGTTTCTTTTTTACAATTCTATGCTTTTTTCGTTTCATATCTCACTTCTTTCGACAGCATTTTAACAGCTGCTAACGCAGCTCCCGGTCTTTGTAAATCAAAAATGGTAATAAAAAAATCCATACAAAACACTTGAAAGTCAAGAAATACCTATATAACATATGCTCAAAATGGCTCAAAATGTGAAAAAATTAGAGGGATTGGACCAAACTTTGCACCATAAATATATGGGCAGGATGTGGTGTTAATCAACTACTTTCGCCAATGATTGTTTATTAATCGATTTATCGATTTTTGATTCGCCTAGCATTTTTGTTATGACCGCCCTGAAATGTTAGAAAGAATTATGATTTTATCGATTATGTGTTTGCAAGCAACGCTCTCACACATTAGATATTGACAAAGGGAAGTTGTTTAGAATGTCTTAATAAGCCGAAAAATCTTCCATTACTTTCCTTATCTACACCTTCTATCAATTTATTGAATTTTCATATTGTGTCCTAGCTACGTAGCGGCAGCAGAGGGTTGACCGTATTATATTTTGAGACACTTGATTGAAATTTATCCAGAGTACTTAATTATCATCAATTACCCATAAAATAGTGAAATTTTGTTTTTTTTCGATTAATGCTGGTTTCAAGTTCTTCGGAAGCTGTAGATCAAAACTCCATAATAAACATTTGAGAACCATGCGTCTCTCTCGCTCGCGTTCTCTCTGACCATTACACCACGGGGGTGATCAGCATGCTCGATTACCCCCTGTGCCAAATCCCAGCCCCGTAGCTCAAACTTTGCAAAAAAATCGATAAAATCGATGAAAGTAATGCACGATTTCAACTAATGTTGTATTCGTAATCAGCATGCTCGATTACCCCCCTGTGCCAACTCCCAGCCCCGTAGCTCAAATTTTGCAAAAAATCGATAAAATCGATATCGTTCGATGACGAAAAGTAGCCTATGACACCCGCCGGGGCCCGAAGGGTATGTGTGCCAAGTTTGGTCCGGATCGGTTAAGAAATGGAATTTTCTATTCGGAACATACGTACAGACAGACAGACATACAGACAGACAAACAGACATTCAACTTTATATATAAGATTCATAAGATTTTGAAAAATGAAGAAAACAATTTTCATGTGTTTTTACGTCAGCTGAATAATTTCTGCTATACCCTTTTTCATTTTTAAAACAGAATTTTCCAAGATTTCCCAAGCTTTAAAGAGGGCGGGTGACAAGCCGATGTATCCACAATTGCAAAACGACATCGACCTTGACAGCATCCTATGTGTATTGGTCGAAACAGGAAAAATTATGAGATTAATGAAATTTCGAAAAATAAAAAAAACGATAATTTCTGCACACCTTTTCAAATTTGGAAAAATTCCTGAAGTTTTCCTAAGAATTTCTTGTACTTACATAGTGGATAGTAGAGTCATGTATGTGATCGATGCCGCAAATGCATACACAGCTGACAAGTTTACGGCAAATTTGTAAACATATCAAATAACCTTCCTTGTCTGAAATTTTCTCAGCTTTTGCGTGAGCTTTTTTACTGCTTTGATTTTTTTAGAGTACAGCAGTCTGATGTCTCTAACCCCTCAACAGAAATGAAAAAGTATATCAAGATATTCCATGGATTTTCAAAATTACTCTATGTGCACAAGTGTGGGAATAGATACGGAAAGTTTAGATCAGTTATGAATTTTTTTCCAAAAGTGTATGTCTGGAAAGTGCCAAGAAAATGCGAAGGCAAACAGAAATTTTCCACCAACCGGATTTTTAGATGAATCGCAGCTTTTTTTGAATTGAAGGAGGAAGAAAGGCATTTTTTACATACAGTAATAAGAAATGACAAACATTGTCTAAAAAAGTCAAGCATATATTAGGTTGTCCCATAAGTCTTTTCATATTCGGACCTTCAATTCGATATTTCTCAAGAACTAGAGCACCTAGAAGGCTGCAAATTTGTTGCAGTAATCCTGAGTTAATACGCTATATAAACACCTACTTGCGGGGAACACAGAACTGATACAGACAAAGTTTGAAAATTGAGCGTATTATTTTTTTCTCGGTTTCTAGCCGTCAGAAAAATGCAGCAAGAGCATGTATACATATCCGATGAGGAGAGTATATGCATGAGAAAGCAGGAAATTTGCAGAGTTGTTTTGGACTGAGATATGATGATTTTCGTTTTTTCGAAAAATTGGAAATTTTTCTATTTTGGCTCGGAACTCGTTGCAGATTGAACTTATTGCAAACTTTTGAGAGCCATCTTGTAGAGCTTGCTTTGATCTTTCGAACGGTATCCTGCATTTTATTAGGAGTTCAAGAAGAACTGATTTATGTCGCTGAAAAGTCAGGTATGAAAATACTTATGGGACAACCTAATATATTAACGCAAGTGCAATTAACATAACAAAGCGCTGAAAATTGTAAAAATACTACTTACTGAGAAAAGTCAAGAAACTAGCTTCAGATGTACGTATATTCTGGAAGACTTTGTAAGCGCTTGGAAGCTTCAGTGTTTCTTCACTTTTTCCGCAATCAATTCTCTTCGTAAACGTTGGGTGGGCCAGCAATAGGAGAGGGGAGAAAATGAGATTAGGCTTGGATTTTATTACGAAACAGAGAAAAGTGTTTATAAAAAAAATGGTGGGTAAATTGCGTAGCTGATGTTCGCCGTAATAACAAAAATAATATCAAACTACAAAATCCAAAAAGTTAGAGAACATAGAATTTGATCAGAGAGGTACGAAGCTTGAAGTCATAAATGAGCATAAATGCTGATTGCAACTCTAAAAAGTATACCAAATTTGGGAATGTAGATAGTTGGAATATTTGGACGTTGCTTAAAACGGAAGATTGTCAAATTTAGGGGTTTTAAGAAAATTAGAAGACTTATGAGCGCTAACTACGATGGAAAAAGCATTACAATACCGATTTAAGAGATTTTCAAGGAAGTTGATTTGAAAAATGGAAAGTTCCATGAGTTCTAGGAAAAAATATGTATTAATTGAAACATGAGAAATTATCATGACATCGTGTAGTTCAAACTACGATACGACCCACCCCTGGGTCATACGTACTTTGCCACTTCGGGCAATGCGACCCACCGGTGGATCGTAAGTTTGACAAAGCGAAAAAAGCTCTGGTCCGAAACGGCAATAATCGAGAAATGGGCCTTGTCGTGAATGTGTTAAAATGTAGAAAAGGAATTAGAAGTTCGAAGGAGGAAAAACTGAATCGAATTTGTACATATTCAGAAAAAAAATGATTGAAAAATGTTGTACCTTAAGGTGGACCGGCTAAGTTATAAACATAGATTCTTTACAGCATTACTTAATCAATATAATCAAATTTTTCATATTTTATGCCAAAAAAAGAGATATCCATTTTCCAAGATCGATAAATAAGCGACCAAACCAAAGGAAAAGTGCAAAACCGTCTGACGGACTAACCTGGTGTGGCACGATTTACGGCTAGACCAGCGGACATAATTCGTTCTGAAATAATAAATCTTGACTGTGATGTCAATGCAGCATTCAAATTCATAGCAATATAGAGAGGCGTACGCAAACGAATGGAAATAGAACAAACACGAAGAGAATGCGAAATTCCTGGAAGAAAAAAAGAGGGCAAATGCTGTTTGCAGTGAATCTGGAAACAATGAAGAATTTCTGAAAAATTAGATGAATATGATAGATGTGAAGAAATTAAGATGTTAAACGAATAAACAGCTATTTTTGAAAAGTTTGCAAGGCAAGGCTTGACAATTTTTGAAAAAATTTCAAAAGAAATTCTAAGATTGTAAGAAAATTCTGAAAAGATTGGGAAATTTCGAAAAATTTCAAAAACACCGACATAAGTTTCTCAAGTATATAGAAATCAGAAAATAGTATGGTTCCAAACTTTATGTGGCTCGCAACTCCTATTTATATGCCCCTATATTCCTAATCCCCGTCTAGACAGCTGATCCCAGGAAAAGAAATGCATGCTATGTAGAAAGTTCTGGAGACATGGGGGAAGACTCGAGAGCACAACGTCATGCCAAGAACATCATCTTATGATAGATTTACGTAGACTGTAAACGCAACAATGGCGGACCGACCCCCCCCCCCCCGCGCTCCCCGAAGATTGTTGTGAAATTTTTGAAAATGGTCTACATGAGTCAGACGAATGTGCAAAATTAACATATTCTCACTTGTAACTAATCAAAATAACTGTCGAAACTTCCTGGAAAGAAAAGTTATGTTGAAAGCAGCGTTCCGGCAAAACCTAATGCATCCTGCAGAGTAAGTAACCCAAAAGCAAGCCCCTAAAGAGGGCCATCTGCGTTGGTCCGGTCCTTTAATAAGGCCTCCGAACAGAGAAAGTACACTTGGAAGTCATGAAAGTGTTGTCAAACCACGCCCACTCTAACAAGCCCCGCCCATTTAGGTGTTGAAAATTGTGCCTTTAAGGTAGGGCTCACAGAAATCGGGTTTTTGTGGGTTCTGCATATTTTGCAGTTAATATCTGTAAACAGGGCCACGGAAGAGAACGGGAATGATAAAAACATAGAAGGCTATAATTTGGAGGGCGATACTTTCAAGGACTAGTGAAGGGTAAGACAGGAAAATGGGCTACTGATTGCGCTGTACAAATTGATGTCTTTATCATCATTAGAACAGTGAGCAAAGACATTTTTAGGAAAATTCTCGCGAATGATTCATTATTTGACATTTCTATGACAATTTCAGGGAAAAAGTGACACTACAACCAGAAACTAGTCATCAATAGATAGCAAGAACTATGATGATGAGAAAGAAGTATAAATTCCAAGACACAAGATGCTTTCTGGACTACTGCAGATCTTTCATCATGGCTAGACACTGCGTGATCGATAGTGCGTCTTTGGATGCTTTCTGGATAATTGTTCATGAATTAGAGCAAATCAGAGACATCAGCAAAGTTTAGCTGGAGTCTGGGTAGATAGATGCATCAAAAACCAGGTAGGCTGTGATGATGTTAAAAAACTCAGTTGTAAAAATGTGTCAAAAAATTCAGAAAGTATTTAGTTGTTTTGACTTCGCTGAACGTAAGAGCTCCTAAAGCAAGATCGCTTTTGAGATTAAATTTTTTACTGCAAGGATATCTACTGATTTTAACAAGCTACTAGCACAAGATGCTCTTCAAAACAAAATTTAGCTCAATCTCTTACAGCAAATCGTCCTACTTCCTAATAAAATCCTTTGCTTCATTATTTTGTGTTGTAAATACATATTATTTTATGTCTAGTTGTTGCTGAAGTCATTTTTGTGCACATGAAATTCCATTCTACCTCCTATTCCTATGCTTATCTAACATTGTACACTCTATTTATTACCATTCACATGTTTTTGCAAGTACCAATAAATAAATAGATAAATAAAATTACGTCTTAACTATTACCGTAAAAAATAATAGTAATAATACATTTTAATAGCAAAAAGCTGCGAAATTAAAACACGGAAACTTTTTACATACTTCTACCTTTACTTAGAATTTATTAAGCCAGCAAGCGTTTCACTTTTTTCGTCAGACTTCATTCGAATTCGCAGCACGTTGTGCACTCCCATTTGCAATGAATTCAATTGATTTTTTCAAATATTCTAGCCTCAATTTCTAAGGAACTAGACCGGCAGCTTGGCGCTTTCTTTAACATGCAATATCACTATTGTAAGTGATATTCAAGTGATTCTAAGAGATGTGGGACCACCTAAAATTGCGAAATTCAAACATGCAAATAAAATATAAACCTTGCTCTAAGCAAGAATACCATGGCAAATTAGAGACAGCGAAATATGGAATTTTACGGAAACTGCTTGAGCAAATCCTCTGTCAAAGATAAGCGAATTGAGGCTAATTTCTAAATGCCTAAAACTTTTTTCAACAGAAGTTTTTGAAATAATCAAAGTAGAGATAATCGGAAATAATCGACATTAGGAGTTGTATACCAAATTCTTTGTTGTTGTTACTTTCCTAAAACAATTTTGAAAGGGCACCATACAACACAAAAGTAACGCATCATGCAGTGATGCCGACAGAAAATGGGTTATTGAAACGGTAATTTTTTCGAAATTCTATAAGAACTGCTTGCTTCTTCAAACTCAACGAAATGTCCTTCTTGTTACTTTGCAAAGGGAAATGTCTTGTGAAACATTTCGGAAAAAAAAAACAGAAAAAGTCGAAGAATGCACTCAGAACAAGATCTACTGGTATTTAGAAAAACATGGGGATTTGGTTTGCCGTAGTCTTGTTACAAGGCAAGTTTATGAAGGCGCAAAATAAATAACGTAAAAAATCAAAAGCTCTTCCTGAATAGATGAGTGTTTATTAGGTTGGAAAAAGATGTCGTCTTTTTACAGCAAAGAAATAGGATGGATCCAAAAAATATATGAGGGTATTCCATAGAGCAAACTCTACAGGATGATTTTTGGATATTGGCAAAAATCCTGATCTATCCAAAGTTTGGATCCAACATATAAGTCAGTCATGCTGTCAAGAATCGGATTTCGCCAAAAAATTCTACGAACTTTCCAAAAACCCCTCAACCTGTATGAAACAGACACATACAATTATCCATAGGTAGATTTGCTGTGACTTTTTCATAGTTAGAAATTAAGAAAAAATCGAGAAACGGAAAATGGCAAACTAGTATGCCCTTAGTGGTGCTGGGCTCCTCCAATTTATGCTATTTTATACTGAAAACTTTTGCAACTTTGACGACAAAATTTTGGTCTTGGATATATTTTTTGAGAAATATCAGTTTTAGCGGGAAAGACCTGAAAAAAGAAACATTCTTCTCTTTCCAACCTGATATGCTTAATACTAATTTGAATCAATTTTGTTTTTTATAATTATATTTGTTCTCCAACTATTATTTATTTGGTCGTTATTAAGAATTATTTTCATTTTTGATATATTCATCTTTTATCTTTTTATGTTTTCCTATTTTTATTCTGAAACCAAAGTTTACTTAGAACTCCTCGATGAAGAGCATAGTCTGTTTGCTAGCGTTACTTCCGACAACATGAAGATTACGAAATAGGAAAAACTTGAGTCATTTTTGTCACGTCTCGCAAAAGTCATTCGTTAATCGATTCCAAAAGGCGAAAAAGCTTCACTCCTGAAGGAAAGAGAAACGCAAAAATTTTACTACATTAGCTCAAACCTGCTTCGCACTACTGTATTCGCATCGAACATGTTCAAGCAAAGGCAAAGAAGAAAATGCAAGCTTGTTATGAAACTTAATGCCAAAAAAAGTAAAAAATGACATTCTTTAGTAGCTTGTCGCCATAGATTTTGTACATATTACGCCCTGCTCGACATTTTCAAGAGCGCGTTTTTTGCGCCGTTGCACTCTTGGAGCGTAAAAGTGGAAGCCTTTGTTTGCAATGTTGCTAATGCATTTAGAATAAGATTAGGCATTTGGCAAACAGAGACAAATCTTTTGGTTTGAACCTAGAAAAGGCGCTTTTTTCGGAAGAGAAATAACACAACTGAGCTAATGGAGTGTTAGACGAGAACAAGACGGCGACTGAGCTCGGCTTCGTATTTCGAAACCTTTCTACGTTTATTTTTTGAAAATATTTGGGATATAAAAATGGAAAATTTGTGTTTAAAAACATCAGCGACTTTGATTACGGTTCAACTCAGAATAAACTGCAAGTAATTAAACTGTAAATTAATTAAATCTAATATATAAAGAATCGTAACGTCAGTTCAAAAATCATCAAATAGGGGGAAATCGAGCGGGTCCCGCAGCGAACGCTCCTGCATACTAGAACCTTTAGATAACGGTACACTACTTTAATAATTGGTTAAATAACCAAATAATTGATTAAACTCGGCATTTTTATACTCCTTACAGTCTTCCTAAATAGATCTCAAAGCGATACCGAGTTACAGTATCCATATTTAACAAGCCCACATATAAATGCGAAAAAGAAAAATGCAAACATTTTCCGGAAGAAAATATCAGAAAACGCTCAATTTCCCAAGCGGATATGGGCGACAATACGTGCAGTCTGCAGCTATTCGTATAGGCGCAAGATTGCTAGGAGATAAAAAAGCGTCGGATGCAATTGCAGACTGGGCGCACAAACAAGATTTATATGGGATCTTGGGGGGTTTAATGATATCGTAATTTATTAGGAAAAGTAGTTCTCAAAAGCAGAAAAGATCAGAGAAGAAAGCCTCAGATAATTGACCGGAGTTCCGCAGAACGTTTCGAAAAGTTCCGCCGGGTTACGGAAGTTCCGTAAACGTGCTGCGGAAGTTCCCAAATGAGGTGTTGCGGAAGTTCCGAAGAATGCGAACAACAATAGTAAAAGAGAACACCTAGGCGAGATTTGAATTCCCTTCGAAGGGAGAAAAGATATTTTTCCGCAATTTTTCGTCGAGCAAATTGACGGGAATAGAATTATATGCAAAACTTTGATTTTCGTCTATATAGGAGCAGTTTCGAGACTAGTCTCCAACGACGATTT